AATCTAGCTAATAGAATGGGCCTGGGACCTGGCCATGACAAAATGAGATAGGACTGGGATTTCAATATTGTATATGGGACAGAACCAGTAAAGTGTAAGATGGAACTGGAAATCCTGATCTCATTTGTGTTGTTAAAAGATAATAAAATTTGGTAACAGTTCTAACATAATTTTATCAATTTATTCAACTTTGGAAAAGTAACAAAATTTGGTAATGCTTTTTGCATAATTGAATTACATTGTAAGCTATTAGACTTTGGCTACTTGAGTCTATTTATTGATAATGTTAACACATTTTCTGTTTCTTGTCTGAATTAAGTAGTGAATTTAGCAGGCTTGCAATCTTTTTCTGTACAATCTCTGGAGTATCTTGATCATCTTGATTATCTTGAATAACTTTCTTAACTAACTTCTTATGTGATATAAGTGCTTCATCCAGCATATGCATCTTGTCTTTATATTTAAGTAGCATGATCTTCTTGATTGTAGATGCATGAAGCTGTGATTGTCAATAATAATATGTATCTCAAGCAATATTGAAAACTCATTCTATTCTAATCTCTGTTAAAGATACAGCCAGAATGTCTCTTGCTATTCAAGCAACAGTTGGAAAATCAGACTCTAGCATTCTTCACTGTTCCAGAATTGAAGCTCAAGATAATATCAAATTCTTATCATTTAAATATTGCTGCATTTCATTTTGGAAATTTGCTTGTCTTTGATAAAGTCTCTCAAAAATCATTTGCTCAATATTCTAGAGAAGTTAGCAGAGAGAAAATCAGAATAATACTTATAACAAATATACATTATTCATATTAAGTATTACTTCTCTTGACTGTTTATATTTCTTATAATGCTTTTTGTAAAATCTCAAAACATATTATCAGTATGTTTTATGCTTATCACTGGTTCAATTCTCTGAATCATATACTCTCATGCAGCATGATGGATGGAGAGCAGCAGCTACAGCTAGCAGCTTACTCTTTGAATACTCAGTATCACTATAGTATTTCTGAAATTTCAAGCTAGCAGCTTTGATAGCTTCTTTAATATTCTCTCTTGTTATTAACTGTTGAGTCTTGTCCTTCTCTCTTTCTAAATACTGGAAAAGATGATTGTAGGTTGCCCATACTAGATAAATTATTAAGTCTGTTGTTTTGAACAGTATCTTGATAAATTAACTGAATAACTGCAATAGTTTAACTATATACTCTATCTGCTTTCAGTCATGATTCAATAAGCAAAGTCTTTAGTATTTTAATGATAAGTTCTGAATCTATAAGTTCACAGCTTGTTAAAGTAACAAGACACAAACACATATTTTATAAATGGAATTCTATCTTGTGCGAATATCTTGAATTATCTTGTGCTAGTTCTCTTGTTGATATTCTTGAAAATATGCAGCAAGTTGGGGGGAGATGTTGATTGCATTGGCAATAAGATAAATCTATTGTTAAGCAAAGATTAGTAAATCAACTCAAGTATATTAAGATTATTACCAAATTTTATTATCTTTCTAAGAGTATTTGCAAATATATCTGTTGATGCTAGATCATCAGTAATTGAGCTCTTATTAAAGATAGTGGGTAAAGTATCATTGTCTGGCTGAATCTTGAGATTGCAAACCAGCTCTCAAATTACAAGTTGAATTACATAAGTAAGACAAGATATTGTTTCACTATCTGCATTTTAATCAGTTGTCTTGTTCAACTGCTGCAATGCTGGCCTCAACTAATATGTAAGATATGCTCACATGATACTATTATTTGATATATTATTACTTGTAATTGTAAGAAGATTGCTCTCAAGCCTTCATGCTACTAATAATTGTTGGAGAATCTCTGTCATATTCTTGCCAGTATGAACATTCTCTAAACTTTCAAAATTCAGTAAATGCTTACAGTACTTCTAATTCTTTGTAATGTAATAATCATTAATTACTATAAAGATAAGATTATTGGGACTTGTTCAATTATCCACCACCAGAGATATCTTGGTTATTGAGTCATGATTAAAGAGAAGATTTTGGAATAGCTGATTGTATATATTGCTCATAATCTAATATAATGTTCCTCATGTAGATATCTGTAATATCATCACAGAGTTGAGCATGATTATGAATGTGTGGAATGCTAGATTCTTGATAGCACAAAATAAGAGATTCAAGAATATTAATATTTGCACAAGCTACTGAAGAAAATTATCTTGATTGCATTCAGGAACAGTGTGAAGATCATACATGTGGATCAGCATGACAATGAATCTCTAGGAGAAATATACATGGGAAAAAGAGTACATAAGATAAAAGATCTGTATTCTAGCAACTATATACAACTTGTAAACAAGATTACCACTGGCTCCCAGCAAGAGATTCATGCAGTAATGGTCTTTTATGTGTGCTTGTAAGCATGTGACTTAGTGCCTCACAAGAACACATGCAACTTTCAGCAGCCCATGAGCTGAGGCCTCTGGCCCTTACAGGTGCTGTTTGTCCATGTAAGGAGTTCGCGGCGAATCCTTACAAACAGGCAGATCTGAATCTGTTTGAGAATGCTTTGAAAACTGTTGCTAAGATACCAGAACTGTTACTAAAATCTGTTACATTTGGAAAATTAGGATTCATAATCTACTATTATGTTAATCAGAGTGTTACTCTGTCTATCATCAGTTTTTATACAGTCTTTACTGGTTAAATGCTTCTTCAGATCACTTGTACTATTTTGAGAAAAGCTTGAATAGCTGAGAAAGATTTAGCAATACTTGTAAATTATCTCTAAAGTGCTCTTAGAATGCTCTGCCATCTGATCAAATTTTGGCCAAAAATTAGAATAGTCTTGCTTTGTCTTCCAGTTAGAGTCACCATGCTCCTTATTCTTAACTAACTAAGCAGCTTCAGTAGTCAATCATTAAGTAACAAATAACTTGTGATGCTGCTTCTTTCACAATACAAATTATTTTTTTCCATGTTGAACTATAGTTAATTCTGAAGAAATCTCTGTAGATTTTGCTTGTTTGCTGGCTTCAGTCATTAATTAGATTTTTTTTTTTTATAATCAAATTGATTTTTCTCTGAGTTCTGTCTTAGTCAAAAAAGTAACAAAATTTAGTAACAGTTCAAGCAAAATTTAACAATCCAGCTAGTTAGACTCATTCTACTCTGCACAGTAATTAACTACAAAATTATTATCTACAAAATGGAACATTCTTCTTCAGAAAAATAAAATATTTTGCCAATTTAATAGCACTCCATTCTCAAATTAATATAAAAAAAGAACTAAAAATCTAACTTTCTCCTCTAGATATCAATAATCTAATTATTATCTATCTCATTGTTCTTCTTATTGTTCTCATTAAAGAATATCATAATCTTAAAATCATCTTTCTTTATCTTCTCTGAGACAGGTAAGCTGTTGTTGTCTTCCATCAGACTCTGTACTTAATTCAGAAATTCTCTTATCTTCTTCTTAATTCTCTCTCTCAACATACCAATCACAGCAAGATAATCATGACCATGAGCTATGATCTTAATCTCAGACTTGGCTATTATTTGACAGAACTATGTCTGCTTACATACAGCAATAAAATACTGTATCTAACTTGTTTTGGCCTAAATATATCAGAACTGTTATCAAATTTCATTACTTTTAAATTCTATTTTCTTGTTCTGCTGAGCTTTATTCTTGATCTCTGTAATGTCTTCTCAGTAATACTTCTTCTTCTTCTTTCTCTTCTTTTGCTGAGAGATTATGAGCTGGTGCTCATGGTACTTCTTTAACTTGCCCTTAGTAAATTACTTGATTATCAGCTGTTTAATAGCTTTATTTTTAATTATCTTATGATTCTCCTTGCTGCTATTCTGCCTGCAATAAATGTTAATATAATTCAATACAAACTACTAAGAATGTATATTATTTATGTTTGGCTTGAATTCTCTTCAGTATATTATAATATGCCTTGTGATCTGTCTCTTCTGTCTTGAATATATCTTTTTAGAGGCACTGCATGATAGAATTATAAAGTGTATTAACTACTTATATAGAATGATTACTATATATATTGTTTACATTCTACAGGCATATTGCTATAGACAAGCTCAACATATTGTTGCTATACTGGCTACAGAATAATAGAAATATGGAGTATATTAATCAAGTACTTGTGTAGAATAGTTACTATACACATTGTTTACATTCTACAGACATATTGCTATAGACAAGCTTAATGTGTTGTTGCTATACTGCTGTAGAATAATAATATAAGATTTGTCTCTCTTCTCTTCTTTTTCTCTTTCTCTTCTTCTTCTTTCTCTTCAGAACTAATATTGATGATTTTCTTCTTCTCTCTGAACTCTTCTTATTATTTACTGCTTTTTGATATTTCTCTGTACAACAAACTGCACTGCAACAATAGATTATATTAAGAGATGAGTGCTTACAGAATTCTGCTCTGGCACATATTATTTACTGATAAGATATTAGTTTTCCTTATGTGTATCTATTTCACACAGCCAGAGAGAAGTAGCACAAGATCATATTGAAAGAATGAGCCCTGAAGAAGAGCAATTGATGTAAAGCTAATAAAGATATTGATCTGATTAACTTTAACCAGAAGAATCTTCACTTCCACTCTTCAGTTTATAATTAAAAGTCTGGCACTTGTATATCAAAAAGTAATGATTTTTGGTAACAGTCTTGATGCTAATTGGTAAAATAAATGTTATTAAAGAAATCCACCACTTTCAGAGCTCTACAGAGCTAATTCTCTCAGTGACCCTATTCTAGTAATTAATTTGAGAAATTACTTTGTTCTGTTATCAAGAATATGAATATCACTGGTAATATACTGCTATTAAGTTACTTCAGAAGATTGCTGAAGTGATCTTATGCACTTTATTTGAGTGTAAGTCATTATTGGTAATGGTACTAACAATTATACTGAGTAATATAGACTCTGTTATAGCAATGGTGCACTGTAAGCATGTTACAGTTAACATCAACAACATGAAGCTCATTCTTGGTATCAGTGCTATGACTGGGTTGAACTATTTTAGTCTGATTGATGTATCTAATCACTCTACTTCTACTGCCCCCACCTCTGCTGCTATTATCTGCTATCTGCATTCTGCTCTCACCCCACTAACTACTTCTGCCACTGTTCTACCAGCACTGCTATCATCCACTACTGTCTCTCTGTCTCCCTCCAGCATCAACAGGGTCTCTGCCCATCAAATAACAGGTATTAGAGCCCCTGTCCAGTTCACAAAACTGGTTCTGGAGGAGCAGAAGAAGAAGAAGAAGAAGAAAACGAAGAAGAAGAAGAAAGAAAAGAAGAAGAAGAGAGAGAAGAAGAAAAAGAGAGAGAATGATAATAATAACAAGAATAATAATAATAATAAGAATGATGATGATGACAAGAATAATGAACTTGTTATTTAAACAGTTTCTAATTATTTGCTGGCTTTAACTATTACTTAGTTTTAATACTTTGTTTTTTTCTTTAACAATAAAATTGATTTTTCTAAGAGTTCCACCTTCATCAAAAAAGTAATGAAATTTGGTAACAGTCCACACAAAATTTGACTAGTTTGACTCTTGATACAATAAGACTGAGAAACCCAGTCCTATTTCAGTTCCACTATAGACCCAGCCAGAATGGGAAATGAGAGCCTATCTTCTCTGCTGGAATGGGATATGGGACATAATTTTCTATTTGAGAATAGGACCAGGAAATAATTTATAGGATAGTGATGAGAATGAAACCTCAAGCTCTTGAGTGGGATGAGACATGGGACTAAGATTTCATGTTTGGAATTCCAGCTGTTTCTAAATTCAGGACTAGAACCAGCTTTAATGGGAAATGGGATCCCATCTTGGTCCCAAATACCAGTCTAAAATTTAGGCTTAAAATGGCTAGTTTTATTTCTGAAATGTACTGGAATAGCTACTAGACAGTGGCTTTCTCAAATATGCTAATTTTATTTCTTTTTGATTTGTATTACATTGCTACAAGAATTATTATTTTTCCTTAAAATTAATATTATACTCTATCTGCTATTTGACTTTTGTGGAGAAAGAACATCTCATATTGCCTTGAAATACTTTGAATTCTTTTCTTTATTCAGTTTCTACAATGTATACTAAGTAAATCCTAACAGAGAAGCTGTTAAGTAGTCTTCATAGTCACTGACTGCATAAGACTATAATGAATAATAATAATAATAATAATAATAATAATAATAATGTTTTAAAGATAAAAGATGAGAGAAAAGAAAAAGAGAAAAAGAAGAATACTTCTGTTAAGAATTGAAAATTAAGAAAGTTGCTTGATAAGTATAAGAATATCTTCTGAAAGAACTTATTATCAAGACTTCTGTCAGACTGACTGTTCAAGTGCAACATTAATACTGAGAACATGTTACTGATAAATATCTGTGCATACTTATTATTACAGGCACTTCTTGAGAAACAGAAGTACCAGATCAATAAGATATTAGAATAAGAACTTATATAATTATTTACAAGTTCATAAGAATTCTCTTATTATGAATGTAGATCTAGACCAACCAAGAATCAGACAATATTGGATGTTCAGACATATTTATATGACCCTGACTCTGAATGTATAAGAAACACATAATTTGCACAGATTGTGGAAACCTCAGCATTCAGTCTTCTAGTTAGAGAACTTCTATGTTCTATATATGACTTCCTTTCATTAGTTATGAATATTGTATCTACTTAGCTCTTTTGTACCTTAAATTCTGGGAAAATGTATATGATCTATAACTAGTTCTTCTAATATTTTGAATGCTTCAAAATATAATTATCTAAGTCAGTACAATGCTATCAAGATCTACAAGATAAATCATAACAACACCTCATGTTGCAGACTCAATGAAGATAGATACTAATATAAAGAAAATGAACATTAATAAAGATACTGGTAGTAGTGGAGTTACCACTAGTGAAACACCAGTCAATAATGCAGACAATAAAAATACATCTCTTAATATATCAGATGAAATCTAAAGAAAAGAGATCTTGAAAGAAAAGAAGATATGTCTGCAAAAGAATCTAGCAGATATATATAAATAAAATGAAATACACAGGCTGCAGAAGCAGATTGAATATAAATAAAGAATAATAAATAATGATTTTCTCTTAAAGTTTCTCTTATGCACATGACCAATAGAGAAGTTAGATGATTTTGATAATGTGAAGCTTTTAAAAGCATCTTATTATTATAGTAAATCACTTGGCAAGTGCAAATTGTGGTTAGCTTCAATAAGACAGTAATTTCACCTGAGAAAATCACTATAAAAGACACCAGATATAATCAGAATTGATTAGGTATCCAGTTACTTTTGTGATAAATCTCAGATATACTGGCAGATGTTGAGAATAGAAAGAGAACAACTATCCATGTCATGAAATAAATTCAAGATATAATGTAAGAATAATGTTGAATTCAAGATAACTTGTAGTTAAGATATGATGCAGCACTATTATAATACTGTTTAATAAGAGAACTAATTCATACTCTTGTTTTTTATATATATTACCAAACTTGAGTAAAATCTGGACAGTCTATAAGATAAATTCTTTTGTATATTCTTTCTATAGATGAAGCTTAGACTAATTATCTAGACTAAACTGAATAAACTGCAACATTAACTAAAAATAATTATGAAACTATAAGAACAAGTAATGCTTATTGAGTTTATTCTAGAAAAGAAGAAGTAAAGTCAGTAAGATAAGAACTAAAATAAGAAGAAGTAGCAAATCTTAATTTCTTAAGAGAAAGATATGTCCCAACAAGATAATGAAAAAGGTTATTTATAAATAAAGAAGACACCAGTAAAACTACTTCTGAAAATATCAGAAGAGAAATATAAATAATAAATAGATGAAAAACTCTGCCTAAGATATAGCTAATCAGATTATAGAGTAAAGTTCTGTACAAATAGCTTGAACAAGTTTTTATTATTATTATTATTATTATTATTATTATTATTATTATTATTCATTATAGTCTTATGCAGTCAGTGACTATGAAGGCTACTTAACAGCATCTCTGTCAGGATTTACTTAGTATACATTGTAGAAACTGAATAAAGAAAAAAATTCAAAGTATTTCAAGGCAATATGAGATGTTCTTTCTCCACAAAAGTCAAATAGCAGATAGAGTATAATATTAATTTTAAAGGAAAATAATAATTCTTGTAGCAATGTAATACAAATCAAAAGAAAATAAAATTAGCATATTTGGGAAAGCCACTATCTAGTAGCTATTCCAGTATATTTCAGAAATAAAACTAGCTATTTTAAGCCTAATTCAGTTTCAAAAATAAAATTTAAAGATAGTTGAGAAATATCAAGTTCTTGTTAAATTTTTCTTCTTTCAGTATAATAAGCTGAGCAGTCTAATAGTAGATGCTTTGGATTTTCAATACAATTACAGAAATAGCATAAATTGAAAGAGTAGTCAGATAATCTTATTAGATAAGATCTGAAATATCCATAATCAAGCTTTAATTAACAAATAGTTGACCATATCTTCTTAGATATAGAAAAAGTAGATGCTTTCCATCTGGATTTTATTTTAAATTAAGAGTAGTGATTTGTAAAACTTTCTTTATTAAAAAGATCTTCAAATCACTCTATCATTGCTTGTTTTTTTATTTATCTTTTTATATAAGTAAGAGATATATATCTTTCAGAATAAACTTGATTCAATTCTGTAGCTTTCTTTGCTGCTAGATCAGCTTCTTTATTTCCATGTATATTTACATATGCAGAAACCCAATAAAGATGTAGATTAATTTGCTGATTTTTAATAGACTTAGCAGTTTTTCTTATAGATTGAAAATAATATAAGCCAGAATTAAGATCTTGATTCATAAGTCTCTGAATAGCAGCTTGACTATCAGAAAACACCCAGATATCTGATATTGATCTTGATTGAGACTGAGAGATAGAACTTGCTAATTTAAATACTTTATCTATAGCAAACAGTTCTGCATCAAAGACTTCAAGATATTTTTCTAGATTTCATGAAAATCTAATATTATCTTGTAGCCCCTGGCCCTACAGCTGCTCTAGTCTTGGAGTCCCTAAGGCCCATCCAGAAGTCAACCAGGCCTGTAGGAAATGCAAACACAGAGAGATATATCTTAAGCTATTATACATGCACCTATAATAATCAACCACTGTAAACTGTTCTCTCAAGCTAGCATTAACCATTCTGATTCTAGTTAAGCCACTACTGCTCAGTCTACTGATCTAGTAACTAGTTCTAGAAGCTAGCTAGTGTACTAGCTACTAAATCCTGCCTTCCAGTTACTAATCTCAGCATCCCAGCCTATCAATTAGCCATTCACAGTCTTGCCATTAATGACTAACCAATTATCTCAAGAGATAGTTGACTACTATCTCAAGAGATAACCAGAGATGCCCTTGTCAGGTGGTTTTCAAATTCATTCCTCTGAATTAGCACCTCACTTAGTCACCCAATTATTAGTTATTATTGAATCACTAGATGGAGTAGCTTTTAGTAGTGTAGTGGAGCCTACCTACTTGCATCATTTTAGCTTCACCAGATGCTAGATGGACCTACTATCCCTACCCAATCATCAGTTATTATTAGATAACAGATAGTAAGTAGCTTTTAGTAGTGCAGTGAAGCCTATCTACTTGCATTCATTTTAGCTTCACCAGATGCTAGATGGACCCACTATCTCTATTCAATCATCAGTTGTCATTAGATAAAAGATAGTAAGTAGCTTAGTAGAGCCATGAGCATACATGGGTTGCCTTTTACACTACAACTTTGGTGGGTAAAAAAGTGTGCCAGTTGAAGAATTTGAACCCTGCACTCTAGAGTGCACCTGCAGCTCATTTTACCAGTAAGTCACCTGGCTTGAACAAGTTCTAATAAACAGATAAAAAAAACAAAAACTAAGTAAAGACTAGAGCTATAAAGCTTATATAAGATCCAGATCAAATATTAGAAAGACAGAATATTAACTCAATAAAGAAGATAAGCAGGTATAGTATACGTCTGTCAGCTATACTAACTATACTGTTAGATAATCTTACAGAACAAGCTGCTCTATTGAATTCAGATACTACAGTGGACAGTATTTTCTACAAACTGGTATTCTAATTAAACTGGAATCAACTAGAGACAACTATAGAAGTCATTGAAATGTTAAATAAAGCTGAGACTAATTAGTATGGCATCTACAAGACCCAACTTACTATAACAGACTTCATGGGGACTATAAAGATGGTAAGATGTATGTTTGTGATAATTAATATAGTTAATATAAATATAGTTCTAGGTATGCTGTAGTTGGAAGACTTTAATCTGAATATAGACTAAGAACAAGATATAATATTATTAATCTTTAAAAAAAATAGTAGAACTTCTGAAT